GTGCCTGCCTGGCGCCCGGTGTGTCGATGTCAGTTCAAGAGTGAGAGGAAGAGAGGAGACGGTTGGAACTGAGATCAGGACGATGAGAATAGGGCGAGGAACAAAGAGCTATGTAGACTGGGGCGGATGCGGCATCTGATGGCATGCAGAGGAAAGAACGACAGGATACGAACAAAGGCAACGCACCGAGAACACGCAAGCGATCTCCAAAACCTTTCCCTTCCGATACTCGCCTCCGAGTCGAGGAGGAACACCCCACAGACCATTCGACCAAACTTGTGCGCGGATCTGAAGCGAAATCGATAAGGCAGGACCACCAAACTCACTGTTGTTCAACGCACCTGGTCCACGAATATCCCCTGATAGCGTCCACGACGCAGTGAATATACGAAGCAGCTGAAGAGGGAAGACGGGTTAGAGAGGAAATACATACGAACGTCACTTCCATTCACTCACCTTGTACGCACAAAATGGGGCGAGTGTAGCCGGGACGATGACATCGCGACATGAGAGTCGTGCCACCAGGGCTGACATAAGGATTACCACCCTTAGTACTTAGCCTCAGTGCCACTTGCCACTTCTCTCAATCGGTACCGGTATAAGAAAAATGGTTAAGAGCAACGCACTAGCAACCGTATTGCGAACCTGAACGACACCACTGTTAATCCCAATTTCGGCATCCGTCATCCGTAACGAGCGTCCACCGATGAAAGGCTGGTCCTCATGTTCCTGGGCGTGGAATAAATCCTCGACGATTGGTAAGACGATGTTCATTAAAATGATCTTGCAATGTGAGGAAATGCAGAGACAGGCACCAGACCACTGATGAGAACGTCGCATCAGGAGGTGAAAAACAGAATAACGGACAAACACCGAAGAGCGCGTCGGCGAAGGTCTAATCACGAGCCCGCGTACGCACCTCTGGCAATATGCAATCGTCCCAGGAAGGTTGAAGTGCAAGCCCGAAGAGGACCACGAAACTCGAGCCGAGGATGGGTCGTCAACGGAGTGCTTAGGAAACGAGGCGGAAAGCTCTTGGGCCAACATGAATCTTGAAATAACAGAGAGAGAATCATCGACAGAGAATCCTCATGCGTGTACAAAGATTGAAAACTGACGGTAAGGGCGAATAGCCCATGATTTAAGGCAGGATATTCTTAGAGATGAGCCTGAGAGGAAAACTCGCACGTGGAATACGTAGCTATCGAAGTCCAAGGTCCGATTTCAAATGCCGAAGGCAGAGCAGTGGCACATCTTGATAAGTAAGGATAAAGGACAGATTGAAGAGACAGATGGAGACCATGAGCAAGGATAACCCATGCATCGAGAAACGCAGAGTAGTTTGGCAGAATTAACTTCCGAAGTTGAGAAAGACCAATGATGTGCACGAAGGCCATTGCGAATCGCGACATGGTAGCCTCAAACGAAAATGACAGGAATGAAACACCTGAGAGACGGCAGGATAGCAATGAGCAACAGTCCATGACCAGCGTAGGACGGAACATCGATCGACATTAGATGAGTATACCACTCGCCACGTTGTCTTCAGATCCGGTAGCTCCAAGCCTAGGCATCAGGAAATGGATGTGGAATAGGCGGGTTTGCTCTTGCCCAGAACTCCATACGAGGAATTCTTCGCAACGAGGGGGAGGACGTCGCGCCGCAACCGACAGGAGAGACTCGAGATGAATACCCCAACGAGTGGCTCAGAGCACAAGGGATTCACCGCCCGAGTGCACTGGTTAGCACCTGTTATCAGCGTATCTGTCTGTCGCCCTGTCGGTCTTGATGTCCAGTTCTTCGAACGAAGTTGTGGATGGCAGCCTGAGGAGATGGGTGGTGGGTGGTGAGGCAAGAATCTGTACGACGAAGACGCGTTAAGGACAGGGATGTGTGCACAGCTGAGCGGAGGCCGGTGCACGAGGCTGAAGGCTGGTGGATGCCATGATGGAAGGACATGAGGGAGCAAACGTACCGACCCCAGCTCAATCCAGGTAGCTCATGCCGTGCCGCTCTGCATCTCTGCGACGACGGGAATCAATGCGGCGACGGCAGCAGGATGAGCCGTGCCTCTTGCAGTGGAATACCACTACACGAAGCAGCTGGGGGAAGAAGGGTGTAAGACGAAGGCTACACGAACTTATCAGTTCTATTCGCTCACCTTACGTGCACGGAATAAGTAATTGGGACCTTTGCCGAAACGAAGGGATTGTCACAACGAGGTAGGGCGAGGGTTAGCGCTGAATAAAAGGCGACGCGAGGCCGAAACGAGGTGAGGAAGGAAGACAACAAGATGAGCGCGAACCGCAGTGCATGGCTGACGCAAGGAGTCCGGGCCTATCTGTCCGGGATACGCCTGAAAAGTCCGACCTCCTTCCTGCCTGGAAGCTTGGTCGAGGACTCGAGTTGCAGCTTTCGTTCAGTGTTGCAGAGTCTGTTTCGGACGCATTAGGGGACGTGGGGATTGTTTCGACTCGACGCGAATTCAGGGTCGTATTTATCCCTCCACAACTTGGATACGACCGACCCTTCCATCGCTCGAACTCGATTCTCATTCGCAATAGGTGCGGCTGATCAAGAGCCTGAAATGTAGGACCCGCTTTCGGGAGTTCCCTCGAGTAGGTTTCGGTGAGCAGGAATAAGAATCTCGCTAAACGAATGCTAAGCGGGAACAACAACTCTATCCAAAAGGTGACATGGAAAGAGAGGTGCTTTACCAAGTGCATCGTAATTTCTCGTCATCGTTGAATCCTTGATGTACTGAAAGGCCATACGAAATGAAAGTAAGAATTGATGACTGACTCGAAGCCTGAGGGTTCAATAATAAGCGCCGGTCAAATCCCCACGTAGGTATTATGAAAGGATCAATTAGAACAATAGACGCACAGGAAGAGAGGCGCACGAAGTGTAGGAGAATGTATCAGCAGCAGCTGATCTGCTGGCCACGGAGGAAAGAGAAAAGAGATACGTATCTAAAAATTTAGCTTGTCTGCCAGGCGGCACGGCGATTGCGCACCAGCTCCCTGTAGCATTACAGAGGTGAAGGAAATAAGGACGAGAGACATAACTATGACAGGTTCGGGTTGGAGGCCTGATTCGGCCGTTACTCCAAGTCGACGGTCCGCAATGGCATTCCCTCAAGGGGAGAACGTGCGATGGGAGAGTCGCACAAACAACGTCATTGCTGAGCGAAGGCGAAATTCGATGCATACCCTCATAAGCTGTTATCAATTCCAGGTCTGTAAGTTTGCAGATAACAGAGGCTCCCATAAGTCTTCAAGCATTTGTCCAGGCAATCAAAAAGCGAGCGACGCAGCTGAATGGGGTGTAGTATCTTTGCTTTGCCGTCTTCCTTCGAGAGCGCGAAGCAGAGCAATGACGAGCTCTCAGAGTTAGAGACACTTCGACTGAGCGTATTTGCGATTACTCACGTCGCTTCGTTCTCTCTCGTGTTGGAAACAATGAAGCTTGCGAGATTACTGACGCCCTAGACGTTTCGGTCCACTCTCGAGGCATCGAAAGAGACTGAATCTAAGCCTTGCAGCAGCAACTCAGGCCCGTCCTTGCGTATGTCTTACAATGAAGGCTTAAGTCGTTCCCAACCGAAGTTCGTGGGCACATACGTTCGGCATATAGACATGAAGTCTCGTTTACTGGTGCCTACGTCCGACCTTCAACTGGCGAGAAATTGGGAGGCGGCCGTAAAAGAGGCTTGAAGACGAACGGAGTAGGATTGAACAGCTGGTCTCGTCTTGAGAGTCTGTGCGGAACGGAAACGGATGAATCCACTAATTGCTTGGGCGCATCGAGACCCCAGCCCGCATCTCCAGCGCTTCCGTTCCTTCAGGTTTGAGGTAGCCTTCGTGATGAGATTTGGTGGGTAAGTCTTGGAGCTTGGAGGTCGGACGGCGCAGCGAACGGAAGGAAAGGGAAGGAAAGAAAACATGAGTCGATGTCTTCTGTGTCTCAATGGAAAGCGAGGCTGAGGTGGCTCGAACGTGGGTAGAGAGGATTAAAGATGTTATATTCGTAGTTGGGTAGATACATGGCTTCGTAGGCCAGGATCGTAGCACTACTCTGTGAGGGTCGACGTCCATCCACACCCACAAAGCCGATGACAGCGCAGCGGCACGGCTGAGAAGCGAGGGCATATCGTAGGCTTGTTCTACGCAGGTACTGACAGATAAGCTCCTCTACCGACGAGCTATGGCCTTGGAAGATTACAGGTTTGAGAGTGTGATGAGCTTGTGTGTAAGGAACGAGGAGACGTGTAACGTACCTCGAAAGCCGTTCCAATGGTTTCCAGTCATCGAATTCTCATCTACGACCCGTACTACATCCCTTTCCTAGTATTGACTCGAGGCTTGGCGGAGATCGTATGACAAATACCGGGCTTGCACAAGCACCGGCATATGCGCGAGAACACATTGCGATTAATTGCATCCTTACTCTTTGCTAATTTAACACCTTCTCGCATGTAACAATCGATCGAAATACGGATGTGGAAGAGACTAGTTAAGCGCAGAGAGAAGGACGGCATTTTATTGTAAAGCCTCAGCAGAAGAAGCGACGTCGGAAGCGCCCACAATTGCTCACAAAAAGAGGTACTTCCATCCGGGGCTAAGCATAAGGAATCGTTGTACTCACTTTGATGCCCAGCGAGTCAATTTCACATCCTCACAACGGGCACCAGTGACATTGTGGCAATGGGGGCGACGTGTACTTGTTCATTTGTTCTCGCTCATTCTGGGACGATCACGTAACGATCTGTGTTGTTCTATGCATCCATCATTTCCTGAGTGGCTCACGAGTGGCTAGTGACGAGTCAGGACAAAGCGCCTCGAGGTCTTTCTTTCTATAGAAGATGTATCTAGAGCCGTGTTAGCACTCTCCTACCTTTACGTCTTTCCCCCTGCTCGTCCTGTCTCGTTCATCCTTCTCAGTCTCTCTCAGTCTCTCTATCACGACACCGCCCTTCATCTCCGTAACCATCGCTCTTCATGCCGAACACGATGCTTTCGCTCACGACCGCCCCGAATACGACCAACTACTACAGTGTCACCACTGAGTCCGATGTCTCCGGCTACGCCGACTCGTCCTATGCTGACTCCGACTTTGACGCCCCTACGAACAGGTGCAGCAACACCGCCTCTAACACCTCACATGAGATCGACGACTCTGCTCCACAGACCCCAGATACTATCTCCGAATTCGACACGGACGACTCGGACAATGAGTCGAATGAGTCCAACTTCGAACACGGCCCCTTGTCCGGCTCGATGATCGTCCATCGCGCCTTCTACCACGCCGAGCCGTACACTTTCATCGGCAAGGCCTTCGACGAGCTCCCCGAAGCCGCACAGAAGTTCCTCGTGAAAATGGGGTTGTGGCCCATGGATGAGGAGACGTTTGATAGAGAAGAGTTCTTTGAGAGGGTGTACACGATAAGGGAGGCGAGGCGGGATAGGTTGGAGAGGACGTTGGAGGGTGTAAGTAGGGCGATCGCGAAGGAGATGTTGGTTCGCGCCGATGAAGGCCCTGCATCTGCCACCAACGTCCATGGCGGTGGTGAAGGACCAGCCAGCGGCGCTGCGACACCTGGTCTCGCTCCGTCGGCGAGGGAGAACGTCGTCGGTGTTCTCCTCTACCCCGAGTGGCAAGAACACCTGGAGGCGTACGTCGAAGAAATTGACGCGCTTATCTGGGTTGACATGCGCCTTCGTCTCGGGGCCGAGCCGAGCCTGTCCGTCAAGGGCTACTTGAGAGAGCGCGAGGAGGATGTGGAGCGCATGACCGAGTTCGCGGTGCAGTGCTTGCAGAGGACGTTTGAGAGGGTGAAGGAGGAGCGAGGGGCCGCGTGGTTGATGGAGAAGATCATGGAGGGTAAGAGGGGGGAAGGCGATGATTTGTTTGAGTCGATTGATTCGATTGCCCATATCTCGCCGGTCTCGCCGCTGAGCGGTGCAGAGGAGAATGGGCAGTGGGTAACTGTGACGGCGTGAGTATGAAGAATATGGACAATAAAGTGTAGCTTAATTTACCCGTACAACATCAACAATGTCGCACAATAAACATTGTACCCGAATCGTACGTGGAGGTGCATTGGAACCAACAAGTGTCAGTTCGAACTGAGAATATGTAAGACCACAACCGCTTACACTGAAGCAAAGATTGAAAAGGATGAAAGTTTGCCCCCGGCCCATCGAGGCATTTTCTGTACTAAAGGAGTTGGAAAGGCCGAGAACGCCAGAAATGGGTAGGGTTCGTACCTATTAAATTGGCGTCAGAGCAGGATTCGGTGCGCACAAAGGTACAAATGGGAAACAGGATATAAGAATAATACTCGAGATTGATTCCAGTCTGTACAGAAACTGCACCTCCTACCGGTATCCCAGGAGGAGCTGCATGAGTGAGGCGATGATGAAGGATAATATGAGATGCACTGGCTTCAGTTACATAATCTCTAGATTAGACAGCTATTTATCAGTATCTCCCCGAGTTATGTTTCTGAATTTGCTCACCGAGAAGACCAAGAGAAGTAACGAAATTCGATATCCTACAGGGTGAAGTGTTTTAGGTAGAGTGACGCATGGGACGCTCATATGAAAAAATTGATATCATCTGGATATGGAATGAATATAAAGCTCGCTTAGACCAGCAAGTACGTTGAGACGCGAGGTCATTGAAAAGAGAGTCTGCTCAACTGCAGCTGCTATATTTACCCGAGTTGCGCCGAGAACAGCAACTGTCAAAGTAAACTGTCGGTATCATCTGTTATGTCTATCTCTTTCCCTTCTGCTCTGAGCTCTAAAAGTCGCTGCCTGACATCTTCATTTATCGCCTCCGGAGTCTGGCCAACGGCTTCTTCCACATCCACGGAGAAGAAAGAGAGGCTGAGATGCAAGGTGGATAAGGGCCGCAGAACGACGTCCGGTTCCATGTTGTTCGGCGAGAAGAGAGGAGGCAGGCACGACCATGGGAAGTACGGGGTGCCACTGAGGCGGAGAACACGTAAACGGGGCAGAAACGGCACCGCTGGGGGTGCAATCTCCCCTACGTAGGCGGTATCGGCCAAGTGCTCAAAGAAGATTTCGCGGATATCCACAAGCGACGCAGTCAGCTCTGTAAGAGAGGGCATCGTCTCGAGCAGTTCGATGAGCCCTGAGGCGGCCTCTTCACTCGTGTCTATGTTGACCGCTGGGGTGTGCACTTCGAGCGGGTGATGAAAGTGGAGATGTCACGTAGGTCGGCACCGGTTTGGAGTGTGTGAAGTCCAGGAATTAAGAGGCGTGTAAGCAGCGCGGATGGGCCGTCGCGGCCATGCCCGAGGACAAGGGTTTGGAGGAAGGAGAGGGTAATATGCGGAGAAGTGAGTGAGTCGGAGGCGGTAGTGCTCGTGGTGATGTTCCCGATTTCGCAGTGCGTTGATCGCGGCGAATGCTGGAAGAGGAGGAGGGACTCGTCGAGAGTCAAAGAAAAGGTTTCGAAGTGCGTCACTGACGCCCAGTCGATGTCAACTGACGTATAAGGCACGTTTCGGAGGATGACTCTATATGGGCTTGATCTTGTGTCTGCGGGGCGGAAGAGGGTAGAGGAAAGCTCTGTTTGCCTGTCTGTGAGGGTTAGGTAGAGCTGGCGAAGGATGGGGCTTTTGCCGCGTAGCAGGGTGAGGTATTTGCTCTCGAAGTTCACTTCTAAGGCTTCCACGCGGGAAATGTGGTGATTGATGACACTGAAGAGAGGGGTAGGATCAAAGGCTCCTGGAGGCGGGTTATCACGGTGCCTTCTGTGCCAAGCATAAGTTCTGTGTAGCCTGTCCTCGTAGAGATCTAGCCAGAGGGGAAGGCAGCCTGAGCGTCTTAGCCACTCGGATGTCATCTTGGAGTCTAGAGCGATGGTATGACTGGATATCTTGATGCGTGCGACGGTCCAGAGACGCGGCGTTGCGAATGCGATTTGGCGCCAGCGTTGGCAGACCGCCGCTAGGACAAGGCCAACCGGGTTCGTGCGCTCTGGCCGTCCTTCTCGTGCAGTGTAGGCATCACGTTCTGGCTACAAGGCTGGTGGTTGATTGTGAGGAAGGCAACGGACCAAGATACATGATACGACTTCCATCGGGAGACGTCGGACGAGCTGGTCATGGTGCAGGTTTCGCCGTAGTTTCACGTCACAGCGTTTGAGGTAAAGAGCTGATAGGAGTTTTCGAGCAAGGGCGATTTGAGCGTCGAGGGCAGACAGTTCTTTGCATGCAGGACAGGCAACGCTGGAACTTGCGCATTCTTCCCCGGAGGTCTTGATCTTTTCAATGTAGCCCGTGATCTTGCACACGCTGCAGTACATATCTGCTATAGGGAAGGTGAATGGCTGGAATTGAAATGAAATCTATAAACTCGCCTGTTCAAACCGCCTTCTGTCGTACAAGTCGCGATGGAGATGATGGAAGTAGGGGACAAAGATGAGATCGAGAACCAACACAAACACGGAAGATCACACTCACGTGCTTGTGACAGTGACCAGTCCTTCCGTCGAGCTTTATCCTTCGTGTCCCATTTCGTTGACGTTTTGCTCCCTTTATGGAGGCGCAGACGTAGTTTATTTCCTTCCTTATTTCTCCTTTAAGGCTACTGATTACGGAAATTTGAAACGACCCACCCGTTGCTGGAGAAAAAAGGATCCGGCATTCATCTTCGAGTTGTGGGATGTCGAGCTCTCAGCTCGCGCGTCGTACATATTCGGGTGACATTCTCATCGACGGGTGGACTCTCAACCATCGCTTCTCTCGTTTATTTCCGCATAGAGAGGTCGTCCAATGTCACAGCCAGAGCTTCATCCCGCGAACGAACGAATGAAAGAACGAAGACTCGAGCCGCTGACAGGATTCAGCGGTAAGAAGCGTGTTACCTGCGTTCAAAACACATTGTTGCGATGCATGGCGAGCCATCGCAACCTTCCACAGTTCCTAGGATACTTTCGCGTGTTGGAATCCATCAGCGTTCTAACGTGATGCGAGTGGGCGGAATAATACTGAACTGACGCCAGTCGCACATATACTGAATCTGCAGGCCTTTCGTCCAAGGACTCTGCGGACGAGACGTAGCCCTTGTCGATGATAGGTGGCTGCTGAAAGTTTCCAATCAGGACTCGGCACCCCGGATAACAGTTATCACTTGACTTTACCTTGAATACCTGACGAAGCACCAGGTGTCTCGCGAAATTCGGAAAAGGCATTCGCGATCCTTCTTGTCAATGGAGCCGGGTTTAAAAGCCATACCAACGAAGAAGCGGAACGGGTGGTCATGGTTAAGCGCTAATGTCTCTGAAATAACGAAGATTGTCGTCAGGTGGGATCACGATGCCGAAGGAAAAGTGCACTCCACTTACTTGAACAGCCCATCGAGAAGCCGGACGGCGATTATTAATTTCATATCTCAAGCTTGAGATAATATTACGGGGGCAGCACCGTGCTGCTATGTGTGTGAAGCTTGAGCTTGAGGTGTCGAAGGTTGGGCCAAGGACTCGGGATGGAATGTGATACCGGCTAGCATTCAGGGAATTAAGTCAATACACGTACTTTTGGTAAGAACGGCTATGAAGCGCTTTCAGCGCCCATGTTGAGTCAACGATTAAAGTCCGGCCCTGCGCACAGATGTCGAACGTACTCTAGCGGTCGATTGCAGTTGCTCCGTTGACGGGAGAGCTTCAAACGAATCATTCAGTGCCGTGGTCTAAGAGAATCGAGAAAAACGATTACCAAGAGCATGATGTCTGAAGAAAGGAGCAAGGTACTAGATTTAGAAAGATCAGCCAAGCAGTGTCGGAGTCTACTTTCGCCTCCGTGCTTCTTGCCTTTCTTCGGGCATGAGACGCAAGGATATAATCTGCGTCCCCGAAGGGGGAGGTTAGAGGGCTGGATGGTGTCTACGAATGGGAGAAGAATAATCAGCGCGAGCGTTGGTGTCAAAGGAATGCTCCGTACCGTTTGCATGGCTCGCAGACATACCTTCAGGGTGTTGGAATCTGTCAGCGTTCGAACGCCCGAATGGGCGAAATAATACTTGACTTCGCATGGATACTGAAGCTCCCTTTCGTCAAAGGACTCTCAGGTCGAGCGTCAAAGGTAGAGTACTGCTAAAAAATTATTAGCACCCGGATGAGAGATATTAATATCGCGGCATTTTACCTTGATCTCAGGATGAATCTGGCGCTTCATCGTGAATGAACGACATTCGCGATTCATTTGAAGCCTAAAATCCACACCAATAATGAAACAAGAAAGAAGTAGTCGGAGTCTTCAATTCCTCCAACGAAGATGATAGTCAGGTAGGATGTTGAAGGAAAAGTCTACTCAACTCAGGTGAGCGGCATCGAGAAGTTTGACGATCCACACGAGCTGAGGCCGGGTGTGTGAAGCTTGGACATGAATTGTCGCAAATTGGGCCGAGGAATACAGAAGATAGTACCGGCTCCTTCATTCAGTTGAAAGGCGAGGGTTTTAAAGCCCATCTGCGCCCACCGATGTTGACGATGCGGAACTTCGAGGCGCGAGGGCGGTGTCGATCGTACCCTAGCGGTCGTTTGCATTTTTCTCCGTGTTTCGAATGAACTATACGGTCGTGGTCTATGGGAATCGAGGAAACGATAAGCAAGAGTCATGATACCTGCCTGTAAAAAAGCAATCTACCAGACTTTAAGAATGCCTGGGCAGCAGCGTTGGAGTTGGTACTGGTTACCTCCACTCCTGACCTACTTTCGCCTTCTTTTTCGAATGTAGGATGTACATAATCTGTGTGCTCGAGAAATGAGGGCGAAGGACTGGGTGGTGTCTACGAACAGGAGAAAAATAATCAGCATGAGCAGTTAGACCCATCAAAGGGAGGCTACGTACACGCGATTCGAATTATCGAGAAGTTGGCGGTCCAGGCCTACGGAATGTGGATCCGAATATGCAGAGCGGGATGGAACAATAGAGGAGTGGCATCGAACACAACGTTTAGGATCAGGAAGAGCATATACACGAGAGAAGAGTCTCTTATAGGGCTTCCTCTACGTCGATTCGTAGGTCCATTCGACGACGGGCGTAGAACCACCTGATGAACATCGTTCTCGTGTGTGAGAAAGAACGAAGGAGAGATGGGAGTATGGTGCTCACCACAGCGGCCGATCGCGATATCAGATCTCATCTGCAGGGGGTTTGGATGTCCGGTACGACGAGCCTTCATCGATCATCTTGGAGCCGGGGGTGTCGAGTGTTCGGTATATCGTTCGGGTGCTTGGGCATGCAGAAAAGGGGTCGAAGGTTTGGACGTGGAAAGACAGATAAAAGCTGTGTATTCGTAGTAGGATAAGTACAGCGAAGGCGTGGTGTCGTTGTCCTATTCAACTGCCGACGCTCATCCGAGACGGTGTGTAGTAGAGAGAGGGACCAGAGCTCATAGGGGATTCTGAGAGGGTGATTGCGTATAAATAACCCTTCTGATAAGCCACGACGGAGAGTCATCTAGACGTTCGAGGCGAGGAGAAGAATCATGGACAAGAAGACGCTTGACGTACCCCCGAAAAGTCAAGACTCCAGCCCAATCGCCCTGAACAGCCGTCTCCTTGCACAGCACCCTCTCCCGTCCGATTTCTGATCTCCTGGCTTGAGGGTCGAGTCACGAAAGTGCAGCTGGCTTGATGTTCGCCAGCGAGCTACCCATCGAAGGTGGGTTGAAGAGACTTGGAGGTGTAGAAAACCTATGGATGCAACGGAGCGTCGTCAGCACGGTGATATCTAATGCATATAACGGATGACACGTACCTTCGACGAGGACTATCGCTGGCGAAGCTGAAGATGGTCTAGCACCCGTTCGACTTTTCCTGTCGAGGAGAACACGTCCGAGAGGTGAGTGAAACGTCAGGGGATGGTGGCTAGATCCATCGCAAAGATAGAAACGCGTGGAGGGCGAGAGTACGCTGGTAACTCGGTCGTGGATGTAGGACGAATTGCAAGATGGATGTGAGCAGAAGACCGACGCCCGAAAGCCGGTCTGAAGCCGGTCTTTCCGAGGTCGGGTTTCGGCCGCTTTTGGGAGTTCTCCTGCCGGAGGCCGGGGTATGATCTAATCCCGAGAAGACCGTGGCTATCTCTCTTGCTCCCGACTGTCATCTCCCTTCTCCAGGCCGTGTCCCCTCGCTCCTACCAGGCTGCCGCTATGTTCTCATTCACATCGTCGACATTGAATTATCTCGTCGGACTTCAGCTTCCTCCCCCAACATTGCCACCTCGCAGAGGCAAACGACATTCCGCTGGTGGTCCCATTCCAACGCACTCACGCAAGAGAGGGCCGCCAGCGTGTGGCACAAGTTGTGTCTCTGCAAGTCAGCAGGTTGGGGGTTGTGCATACGTTGCTGGGGACCTCCGCCATTTCTTCCATTTCTTCCCCTCCTCTACTCCGCGTCCGAGTCGCTCTTGCTCATCGTTTCTTCTCTGTCATTGACAAAAGTCGCACCTTTGCGATTAAAAGCACGTCAAGCCCCACACTGGACGTTCTTCCGCCAACCCTGCCCATACCGACGCGTTTATCTCCACCTTCCATGCGCATATATTCGCCTTTCTATAGACCGCTATCCTCGCCGGCAACCTCAGGTGTGGCTCTTATTCGCGTCCTAAACATAAAGTGTTCCTCGTTGCCAACTCTTTGGACGTTCCGGTGCCCGCCCTCGTGGAAATTGAACGACAACTCAGCTGGCGGTTCTTATTCCTGACTAACGAGCCCGACCCGCTCCGTACATCTTCTCTCGACGACCTGTGCGCCGTCAGCCTTTCCTGCGCTTAATACGGCCAATATGTGATTTCGCCCGGGTGACTGGCTCTGGGACCTGACATATGCGGCTTTCCGCGCCTCCAAGTGAAAGTTGAGTCCTTGCCCTTCCTTTCTTCGCCCGCTGACATTCGATTACTCGAAAGTTTCGCTACGCACACGCGTTCGAATTTGGATTTCAGCCTTGTTTCCTTTCCCGTTCCCTTTCCTTCGACCTCCTGGAGGGACGCATAGAGACGAACGTCGGCATTCTTATCCTTTCGTACGTGACGTCCATGCGAACTTCCAAGCGAGCTCTCACATTGCATTCCACCCCCCTCTCTGTTCGCCCGTGATAGACTTAAATCCAACCCTCCTGCGGATGACGAGAACTGACGAAGGAGCTATTCACCGTTCCCAAAGTCGACATATCTATGCGATTCGTGGCCGATCACTGCTTGTCCGTACTTCCTTTGGCTTTCAGTGCTCGATAGTACTCGGTATTGCTACTGGTATGTGTCCCCGCCCACGCTGGATATGCGCTTGTCTCTCATGTCGCGGAACAGCCAACATTCGTCTTTTTGGAGCTTGATTTTGTTGTATTCGAGTACTCCAGCCTCGACCAAAGCTCCAACTTTTTGATTCCAATTCGAGTACGCCATTGATCAACCGAAGTCATAGCTTTACGACTCTGCGTACGACATCCGAGTCCCCCACACTGGATGAGTCATCGCATCTGGGGGTTTTTATTCTATTCTGGGCTAACGTCTCCCTCTCCGCTCATCACTTCTTCTCTCGATGACCTGTCCAGGATTACGAGCTTGTCCACAAAGAGAGATGTTGGACGGGCTCGCTCTCGTAGGGTATGAAGTAGGACGCGACAAATACTAACATCTGTGGTCTACAAAAACTAACGGGTCATCGAGACGAGAAAATGGAGACAAAGGCGACGGAATGTTAGCGCTTGCTATTGTGACGCTGGAAATCGGGGGCCGAGACGAAGACACGGGGCAAGTGACAACCGGAGCGTCTCTCACATACCTTCGGGGGCCCAACTTTGGAGAATAGACGGATTCCCAGACCCGCAAATATACTCCATCGGCATGCCTGTGCTGGATGTCCAACAAACCTTTAGCCCGTTGATTTCGTCCAACACGGCCATCGAGACGAGGTCCTGGCACTTCGTGAAGTCGAAGACGGCTACTGGGTGCCCAATCCGGGAACGCCAGGTGAGGAACGACTTGCACAATTTCTCGGCACGTGGGTCCGGAGCCTTTATCCAAACCGGTACGCTGAGGGTGCGAAGGCAGACGCGGGCGAGTTTTGGAAATGGGATCGCACTGGAGGTGGTGATAACGCAGTCGCGCCTCAGGGCTGCTAGGGACTGGATGGTAGTCTTCAGCGTGGCGACGTTGGGAAGTGAAAGAAGGAAGGTTCGGACATGTGGATTAGAGAAGACCTTGGACTCGAGCTCCAAATTGAGTATGGTGACTTGGTTGAGGCGATGAGGTAGATAAATGCTAAGGACGAAGAAAAAATCTTGTGATTCCTCGGTGTCGACAGTATTCGAAACGTCGACACTGAGAGTGTCATGTACGGGCCACCGCTTTGAATGCTGATCGAGGAAGACGTGATATCGGCGCAGGTTGAGGCTGAGTGTGTCACGATCGGCGTTAATTGCAAACCACCCCTTTGCGTGTGTCAAGAGTGCCTTCTCGATGGATGTCCTACAGGCCTCGGAGATGGTCGTTCTCCAATTACTCTCCCACGTCCAGATAGAGGCTCGTGTGGTACAGCCAACAGCTGGAATGAGGTGGGTAAGCAAAGAGGAGAGGGTGACGTAGTCGGACGTGAAAACACTAAGGGAACAAAGGGATGGGAGCCAGGCAGTGGGAAGTGTTGTTTGTAGTTCTTCCGCAGTAATTGCGAGCGGGGGTACGAAGCTGAGGGATTTCAGACAGGTCATATTCTTCAATGCATCCAGCAGCATTGAGACCGTAATGGCGCTTCCAGTCTCGCTTGCTACTTGAGTGCCTAATGAAAGATGTTGTAATTGAGAAACCCAAGCAGCGCTCAGGTCGATGTCTTCCCAAAATGGGCTTGAAAACGATGTTAGTAGAGGTGCTTGTCCAGAGAAAAGGCCGGGGAGATGATGGAGAAATGGTGTGTACTGATTTCCCGAGTAGGTGATGAGCCTGAAGGTGAAGTACTTGAGAGTGATGGAAGGGCGGTATAAAGTATCCCAGACGGCTGAAGGTGCGCCGACGAGTGCTTCCCTAACTTTGAGCTTAAGGCTCTGGATCTGCGGCCAAATTCGGTCTAACACTATCATCCCCTCCCGTGTTTCCGGTTCGTCACGGTAGACCCCTGCTGTTACTGAGAGGGGTAGACCTCCAGCGCGCTGCAGAACTTCATGCACGCCCTCAGGAGTCAAGGTTGAAATATCCACTACTGATGCCCACAAAGACGGCGATCCTAGTGCCAACGCTCGCCAAGAGCGGCAGACCTGCGAACTCGCCAATGTCGTGCGGATGGCTTCCTCTGAGGAGAGTAAGTCCCAATCAGTGTTCAGGTTGAAAATGTCCCAAAGTATCTCGTCGTGCAGTCTCTGGATAGGTGTATCCGCATCGATCAGTAGAGAGTGTCTACCTGCCACGATGAAAAGTACAATGAAGAGGACTACAATGATGGATCTGGAGTGCGCACCTTCAGGCTTGGAACATATCTGTAGGTCCGTCCTCGCCATTTCCCCTCGATTTCCTGAAGGACGAGATATGTCGATGATTGATGAACGAGTTAGGAAAGATTGAAGAGCCTTTGTTGACGCGGCCAGGGTTACGTCTCATCAGATTGGGATCCGAAATCGTCCGTTTATGGTATTTCTGTCGATTAGGCTTGATATGGGCTTGATTTGGTATGTATTCAGTGCGAATTTTGAGAAAAAGTGTACTTCCTTCACGCACCAGCAGGAACCCTTTTCGATGGTGAATAAAATCTACCCAAGTTCGGTGGGTTAATTCAATAACAGAAATAACGAGCGGTTGCAGTAGTATTCTCCAAAGCATCGCCCAAGCCAAGCAAATTCTTGGATGAAAGTTGAATAAATGTGGACTTTATCATACTCTCGATTCGATTATCTCAGTTCTGAATCGTCTTTCCAATTCTCGGAGCGCTCAGATAGACCGACTTTGCTGCGGGTCACAATATCAGGTCTCGGGGAAAGGAAGAATTGTTCATAAAGATCGCCACCCAGTCCGATCGAAGGATCTGTTAACACGAAGCGGAAAGTGTACCGCTCCTCAGTTTCCCTCTCGCTTCGCGTTGCTCACTTCTACTCGATTCCTCAGAGTGGACCTCCGTTCCCAGCTCTTGACATACTTATCACGGCAGACTTCTGAATCGTTCGTTCTGGTTCGTCGACTCGCCTCAGCTTGCCTCAGCTATTCGACACTGAGAAAAGCCGTTGACCGTTTGTCCTGCAGCATCCCGTGCAGGTACTGTCTACAGAGCAACGAGTCCATCAAGGTCTGGAACCTGTAAGCTCGCCTGAAATCTAGGTCATCGAGGGGGTTTGACTCACGTTGGTGTATAGACGACCAATCGGGAAGCCGAAGGATTGAGCTAGTCGCGTGTCGGGTCTAGCGGCGAGCATGATCAGAACTCAGAGAGAAAATGTGCCGCAAAGAACTCCTATAAGACGCTAGTGTGAAGTCCTTGCCAATTTGTAAGAACATGGTACGAACCGGTCTGAATGGTGGTGCGTACGAGACGATTTATGACAGTGTCCAGATTTTGTTTGGTGGGAGATTTCATTGGGGAGTAGATAAGCAGTGCTAGCGTCAATAGGCACGATCGTCAACACCAGGGTCAGAGCGGATAAAAAGTCCTTGCAAGAGATAGTTGCGTCTACTAGCACTTGGAGCGTCAGCCAGAAGAGACCAAATGATTGAGTATGCTGTTAGTCCACGGTGCCGAAGGAAAGCGCGAGTCGGCAGGGCCTAGAACGTCGTGAATAGGTAGAACGTCCGACGTACCTCTTCAACTACCGGATCCTCATGCTACAGAGCCCCGCGAGACGAAACGCCGCCGTGGCAAGGAGCCCAACTAACGCATAAACATAAGCCTTCCTTGTGATCCTCCATATTCTGCGTGAACAAAGGCGGGAATGAGAACAACGGAGATGAAATTAGATTTGAGACTCGACATAAATTTTGTGATGCATACCAATATCCTAGGAATGACTGCACGACCAGCGTGATGATGGCTGAGGTGACGAGCGTGAAAGGGTAACTCCAATTAATCTCTAGATTAGACAATCCTTTATCAGTACCTCCTGAAGTCACATTTCGGCACGAGGATTTGCTCACTCACTTAGGAGACCGAGAGGATTGGCGAAGCTTGATATCCTACGAAGTGGAGGGTTGTCAGTAGAGCGGCGCATGACGCACGAATCGCTCATACAAGAAAGACCATACCATTTGGATACCTCTGGAATAAATGAAAAGATCATTCAGACAAGCCTAGCAAATGAATATAATAACGGATGGCATACGAAGCGCTCGTGGCCGTGTAGAGCAAGGAAAGAAGGAACAAGCCAAGTCTGACGAAGTCAAGGTCATAAGCCTCGCCACATATGAGATGCATTGTGCTCCGTTACAGTACTTGATCCAGAGGGGATCATTAAAATTCTACACCGCCGTGCATAAGTACCTCCCCGCGGCACTACTTGTTGCGTACGCCATGTACTGATAGGCCACGATGCCATACAGGAATGTGTTCACTATTCGTAGGTTGGACTGACCGAGCGGGGCACGTTTGGATGGAATTGGATCTCACTCACGAAAAACACCCAGAGTGGAAACACCTGAGAGGATAATTCTCTCAGATACCGCACGCCGGAGATGGCGAATCATGCACATACCCAGAGTAAGCGGTATATACGAAATGAGAGTCCTCGAGATCGATGTTCGTCTATCTCTAAATTGAACTATAGGGACGCGAAGGGCAGCGGGATTAATGCACCTTTATGGTATTCCTCAGGACGGTATGCCCAAAATATTTTTGTCGAACGGGAGAAGCTTTCCCGCATTACCCCGCCGTGAGGTTGTGGAGACCTTCCGTTCCCTCCAATGCGAAAGCATCCTGATTTGAGGTGTAAAAAAAGATTACTGCTACCGCCACGACATCCGGACGAACCTGAAATCGCTGTGCATGGGAGATATTTGTCTGATGCTCCTGTTCAGGGAAAGTGAAAGGATCCTATATCATGCAAGTGATATGGAATTAGACCAGAGCACGAGAGAAGCTACAGGGTATTTCATTTTCGGTGAGAGCGGTAGTTGCGGGCATGATGGTCGAAGATATTTCTGTAGATGGTGGGCGAGTACTGGCGTGTACAGTCTACCTTATCAGACATGAAGGTAATGGTAAATCGACATAAGGGGACGTACTTGCCTTTAAAGTACGGTGGGATTCAGCAGCACGACCCTCGGCCAAACGATTGAATCCAGTACAAAGCTAACGAAGTGATTGAGCCAGAGAAAGTGCATGAGGAGAATGAGATGCGCATTCTCATATGCGGCCCAGACGGAGGGAAGAGTCGAAGGGACAACGAAACGACATGAAGGTAAGCAGTGAGTGTGATTGCGGCGGTGTTCCCAGGCAGCGACGGGCCGATATAGATAAGATAAGATCCCGTTGATCGCTCGCAACGCCTACGGTTTTCCCAAGACACGTTTGCCTCGACTACTCTGCGTTGCGACACCTTCTGCAGATTGAAGGCCCTGCGCCTCCCAAACCCAGCCGAAGGGCCGATCGCACTTCTTTCCCGTCCGTCACCGGTCATTGGCCACCAGTACTACGCACCATTCAGGAAGAAACTACCTGCCTCGCGATCGGATATTCCATCGAACACGCCGCTTATCACCTAGAACACGAGCTGCTACGTGAAGAAGGCCAGCACCACCCCGAGGACGAGACAACCTGCGGAAGTGATGCTCGTTTATCCTTGAGGGTCCGAGATATGGCTCACTGGTGTCGAACTCGCCCAGACTTGCACGAATTCGTGATGCAATTCGAGGCTGGTCATCGAGACGAAAGACAAGGGTGAGTTCAACACCGTTGAACATGAAGATTTGTCAACCCCCTCTCCAGTCACTCACTGCTGTCTCATCGCGCAGCCGCAATCGAATCACGCTCGAAACGGCGACTGTCCGAGGAAGAGTGAGAGTGCACAATGGATTCTAGAACAGCAAAGACGTGCACATACCTAATCTGAAAAAGTCGAACCTGCTACGGCGCAAGGGTAGGAGTCGAAGATTTTAGTCTAATCGTCAAAGGGACGGATGCGAGAAGCACGAGAGAACGCAGGTAAGTTATTTACTCTTATCTGTGCTGGATGATTCGGATTCGGCTTACACTTGCTCTCTCTGCACAAACGCAGCATCATGGGCTCTGCGATCGTTCGCCCCGTGGTCATTGCGCAGAGTTGAAGAACTCCGTATACCAACGCTGGCGGTTCATTCGAAGGCTCTGCGCCGCCGGTACGTGTCCTTTGTGCTCGGTGCGACTGCTTGAGGATGATCTTTTCTCTTTCTAGGAGCCTTCTCGTACTGCTGCGAACAAGTGCAAGTCATTTCCCTCGACGTTGGAGAGAGGATGTGCCCACCGGCTACCGAACTCGTGGCACTTACTCTACACAGTCCGCACCCTTGCTCTCTCGTTTCTAGTCAGAACATCCCCCTCAACTCCTCTCCAGTCGTGTTTGCGCTGTTCTAGGTTGTAGAAACTATTTGTTGCTCGTTAACGGCGGGCAGAGCTCCAAGCCCGCCGTATCTCGAATTCGGTAGGTCATATTCTCTTGCTCGTGTTGGGCGTAGTATTGATTTCCTCATTTGCAGATACGTTTCATCAGTCTTGAACAATGATAAGCGATCTTCTGGGTCGTTGGAGAGCACGGAGGAACCTTGAATTTCTGCCTCTAGACTCTAGACGACTTCCAGAGCCGAATTCACCACCGACTTGCTCAAAAGCCCGTCGTGGACGTTGAGGATGGCGTTCGGCGGTTGCAACCTTGTAGCCGACAGTGCTCTGGGTGGTTTTGGTCATGGTACGTTCCCGTCTTGCCCGGGCGTGACAGGGCCTGGCTTTGTGGGCGTCGGCGGGGTCGTATGCTGCATCCTTCCTCCAGTGCATCTACGGTGACCTGCTGGCACTCTCATGAGCAGCCGAAGTATTTTCGTGCATCCTGTAGGTACTCTTGGGCTACGTATCTCGGTCGGGAGCGTTAACAGTGACTTGACAGGCAGGCATAGATCTATTCGAAGAGTTCAAGAATGTAGCGGCGTTTCGCGTAACCTGAAAACACAATGCGACTGAACAGACTTTTGATCTACGCGAAATTTGGGTGCCTTCTTCGACTCCTGGTGCGGACAGGACTGCACTTTCGTAGGGGCGTCCCATGAGGCATCATTTGGAGGGTGGAAAGTGGTTTAATTTCCGTCCATACAGGCGCGTCGTTCCGGGTGAGTTCACCCGCATCTGGCATTTCGGAGTATTTCTAATTAATGATAATTGTGTTGGGCAGGAAGAACATTGCTGGCATTGTTGCCCATCCGCACCGATATTCGATATCTTCCTATGAACTACAGGATTTCGGCGCTCTTTTCGACTACGTCCTCATAGAATCCATTAACAAAAACGGGATATAAATCCTCGTCTTTCTTGGAACTCAAGGCTTTCGTGACGAAGACAAAGAACTCCCGGCCGCGGAAACACAGAAATGCTTTTCCTGCGTCGAAATCTTCCCAATGCTCACTCTCGACGATGGGTGTACGGAGGTTCATTTCTCCATTTTCGTTCTCTATGATTCTCTTGCACCTTTGGCACAGCTTCAGACCGCTGTCTCATCTAACTCGGAGGACTCGTGCCGCTCAAAAGAAGAGGACAGTAGCTCGCTGGATAGGATCAAGGTCGTCCATTCCTCGTCTGGGCTCAGCGATAGGTATTCTAAGCATCAACGATGTGAATGGCCCGATGAAGCCCGCAGTAAACGCGCCTCTCTTTCCTGGACTTGTCCCACGAAGTCGGCACCTGCTGCGGACTGTTCACCTGTTCTTCGCAGCTAATGGCATTCAATCCGCTATTCCTGGATAATAAATATTCCTGTGTAATCTCGTCGCTTGCGTGAACTACGTCTTCTTCGGAGCTTTCCTCGTCGCAATATCCTTTGCCCATTGCTCACCCTCTGCGTTCCTTTCTTCTATGACTCTTGCGACATGTTCCGGAACACGACTGACGCGATTCTCTACAGCGGGCACCGGCTCGCCATACTGCGTCCACATCGGCACGACGCCTGTCCAAACCTTCCCAACGACGCTCTCATCCTCAAGGTCTGCCTTATCGTTCCCTGCCGTGTACGCTCTGACCTTCGCACTGGCGCTTACCACATCTACGCGGATCACGCTCGTCGTTTTCATCTCTGCCTCCGTGGGCGGCACGCGCGAATTCGCCCAGCGCTCAGGGACGATGTTATCCGTGATCAGCGTCAGCGCATAATCCTTCTCCGCGGCGTCCGTGACGAGCTGTGCATATCCATGCACAACTGCGCTTCGGTAGTTGGAAGAGTGGTTAAACGGCGTCAGTGCGAGGACGAGACCGTCGATGTGCGTTGCGGCGACGCAGACGGGGAGTCCTGGGAGTCCCTCCTCTGCGGCCCAGGACGAGGTGTTTCCAGGGAGCTTGAAGAAGCGGGATGCTGAGTGTCCGTGGAGGTAGATGGCCGGCGCGGACTGGAGCTCCGCGTTCGGCGCCGTGTACGCACCGAAGCAGCCTAGCATGGGGAGGATTGTCGGGAATGGGTCGTCGGAGGGGTGTACCGGAAGGAACGAGACATGTAAAATGGGCGATGTGTCGATGATCGAACGGATGGTTTCCTGGTCATATACAGCTAATTTTCGTGAGCACGACAAATGAAGAAAGCTAGCATCGAGTACGAACCTCGCTGCTTGAGGCGATTGACCGTGCTTCGCGGTGTTTTCTCGTACTGCGTAGCGTCCGACATGAGGCAGCGAGGATGAAGCAATCGAGAAGCCAGCAGCAACAAGAGCGAAGCCAGGGGACTATCTATAAGTTTCCTTGTGAGTCACACTGCGATTGCGCGTTACCCATGACTATATCGTCATATCCCCATGTGATGCATCGGCGTTCCGTTTCCTTCAATTAGATTAGATGGCGTGACTGAAGTTAAGCGCCCGTGGCGCTGTCCAATCAGACCATCCCCATTCAAATTTGAGGGCACCCGACCCTTTCCTTCGTTTTTAGAGTGTTTGAAAGCTTCATGAAGGTCATAGAGGGTGGTTTCTACTCAAACGGACTATTATTCCATCAGGCCGACCCCTTGAGGACCAGGACTGAGGTGCGAGTCATTGTTCGGAGCTTGGTCTGCGAGTGGGATCGACTCGGCAAGCTCAGAGTAATGTCTTCGTAAAGAGGACAGACGCCATTCAAGAATAGGTGGCACCCAATACTCGAGATATTTCGGGCCATAAAATCGTTTAGGACTTGAGAATTATATCGTCGAATCACAGGGTTCCTGCAACGTGGTGGAAACCCGGAATTCAACGTTTTACATTCGACCACTTCTTCTCCTTACTCAAGGACTGGTCACAGCACACGCCATCACTGTGTTTCCAGGTCTGTCTCTTCCTTCGCACGTTTTATCCCTTTAATCGACACTGGAACTGTCGCCTTCGTAGTACCTGATGTCAGAGATGAGACCTTCGAACTAATCCCTTGGTTGACGTTGGCTATGAGAGGTGAGAGACCAAGTCGAAAAAGGTGTGGCAACGAAGGGATAGGGTGGTCGGAGCACAATTAAGTTCTGGCTGACGTTGTCTGTAAGGTCAATGAATCGGTATTCGAGAAGGTTTAAGTCGCATTGACATAGAGGTAGTTCAAATTCGCATCCTCAGGCCAGCGTTCGCGCTCATCTCGCAAGCCTGAGTCAAGAGATCAAGAAAAGGAGCACAGCCCGCTCGGATGCCCAGAGGAATCTACGACCACATTTGAAGCAGATATTCAAACCCCTGAGCCGATCTTCGTGGCGAAGGGGTGCACACGGCGCAGTGCGTCCTGGGCATTGGTGAGTGTGAATCCTGAGGATGGTCGTCGGCGGTCAGCATGTGGGAAGGGATCGCAGAGGAGAAGGTGATTGGCGTCCAAATGCAGGGCGCATTCGGTAGGAGAGGGCCGAGGCAGCAGGCCAACCGGTGGTGGGGAAAGAGAAAGGGTCGGCATCGCCTTTACCAGCAAGGACAATTGATATCAAGATAAGATAAGACGCTGGCTTGCCAACCGACTTCGACCCGTTCCCCTCGCTTTCGAAGAGATTCATGATGACTCTATGCAGTTCATTTCCTTATCTCAAGTATCAGCACGCTCGAAGAGTAGCGTCTTTCGACGCTTTTTGATATTCGGCATCATTTTCGCTCATACTTCTCATTTCGTCTACGTTGTTCCTTCTCAATTACCTCTTCGACGTTTTCCCTCATAGATTCGTCTCAAATCGGAGTTCTGAAGGAATATTTCCCTTTTCTTTGTCGGAAATTAGAAGTCATGAATAGGAAAAAAGGAGAAACACGATAGATTAGATGTCTCATCATGATAAAGAAGGCAAGGGAGAGACGCGAACGAAGAGATAATGCTTCGGCCTGCGTCACCCATCGTACGTAGGGCACGATCATCGCTTCACCAAATGACGAGGCTTTACTTACAAGGGTGCACTTGGGCACTCCAGTGCTCCCTCCCCACAATACCCGCGGTATTCCGACGTCCGCAATCCAACTATCTGGTGCGCAGCGGGGGGCGTTCGTATATTCGCAAAACCTGGGGGTAGAAGTTATGGGCCGAACCAGTTGAGCCACATAGTCGAATGATTGGCATGATGTTGGGAAGGACAGGATTTATATTGGAGCCAATGGTGCCGTCGCAGAACGGAGGGAAGGGAAAGTGGGAAATTGACAGCGAAGCGAGGAACACACCTGGTAAAATCACAAGACCGAAGGGCGATGGGTGACGCAGAGTTCGCCGCTGGTTGAATCGATAGGGTCTGGTATAGCGAACGTAAGAGATATTTAGGGGATTTGGGCTGTGACGCTGCGGGTGCGTGCATCGACTTTTGACTGGGAAGAGGGGCAGAAGAACGGATGTTGAGACGGTGCAGGGTATTGACGTAGATGGTGTTGAAGGCACAACAGTGGGTGCAGATGGCGTTAGCTGAGATTGCTCGTCAGGCCGCTCGATGGTGGTGGCACGAGGAAGAGAAGTTCGATTCGACTCGCCGAGAACGACTTATCTTATATATTTGATGTTCGCACCCCTCATTCGCAAGAGAACTCGAAGGACTTTTCTCAATTGGGTGCTTGGAAACTTGTATACAAGGACACCGGACCTAATGCACGAGGGTAAGAATCCGCCGCAGCATTTTTCCGTGGCTTAAAGAGACCATGAGTAATAAGCGGCAATGGATAGACTCACGGCATTGAAGCCGTCGTTCGAGGCCCAAATCCACGATCCGATGAAGCTTCCGAGATTTCTGGCATACACGGTCCGCAAAAAGAGCGCCCCCACGCCATGAGCTCTCAAGAAAAATCCACGATCCAGAGCAGAGCATATTCGCTCCTGCTACTCAGTTGTGTGGTCTAGTGGGGAGAAAGTGGAGGTACGAGGACGGCGGATATTGATTCGATCGGACCCCAGTGGAGCCAGTGCCTCTGTCCAGCGTCATGAATCGCAAAGGTTATAACCACCTCTAGGTGCATATTGTGCAATGTACGCTAGGAGGAGGAGCAAGGCAATGGTCAAGAACGCTGGATCAAAAAAACTGCGGCTCGAATGGGAGGGATGGTGAGATGGGAAGGAAGAGTACGAGGCAGTATGAGCCAAGAATCAAAGTCCAGGAAGGGTGAATAGAAGAAAGGCTTGCGTAGAGAGGCACCGTCGAGATGAGAAATACCTAGGGGCGGGCGATAGATTGAAGAGATATGAGACGCACCTCTCGAGCTCCAGCTGCTTCTCGAAAGCTTCTTCATTGAGGATGTGTTGACACTGGAAGCGACGTCGATTCGATAACGCTATCCAGAGGCAAGACGACTCAATGACTGGGTGGTGGTGGTCGAAGCGCAAAGGAATGCAGAGCTGGAGACCTCGTTGGGGAGCGTGACGTGACATGCGTGATCTTTCCGGCCCACCGTGGCTCACACCCGCCGTTCTTGTCCTCATCCCATCCCTGTCTCCTCGCTCCTCGCCCCCCCCTTCAAGAACCGTCTACCACTGCCACGCTACTCAGACCGACCATCAGCAGCTGCATCATTTCGTCGTCATGTCCATCAGGCACTTTCAATTATCGAGCCCAATCTCTGTCTCACGACGTTCTCGAAGGCCTTCAATTCTCGTAGTTGGGTAGCAAGTGCGAGAGGTGGCCGTAATGGACAGCGCGACGCGCTGGCGATGTTGGAGGTACGCTCGTAGCCCCAACTCTGCGTACCTGACTTCTCAATCTCCATCCGCAGCTTTCATTCGATCGATAGTCAACAATTAGGCCGCATCATCGTCGGTCTCGTGTTGAACGTACGAATATCGACGGTGAGTGTAATGCGACGATGTTTCGCATACTACCTACTGAATGCCCTAAGGTCTATCCAATATCAGAAAATCCTCCGTGAATCGGACGTGAATAGGTGTTGAGTACGGCGGATGTTGGGTTCGAGGTACTGATAGAGACTTTGGGTAAGGTTTTTTGCGAGATATTGAACGAGCTATTCGTGCTGACCCTCTTCCAGCCTTTCGTCGCCCTCTTCAAGCCTTCTACCGACGTCGTCGTGTCGGACGAAGCCTGTCACTCAGCCTTATCGACAATCTTCGCTACCCTCGTCCTCGAGCAAAGCACACCGCTGGAAACGTTTTTGGCCAACGAACACGAACACGAAGCTTATGAATCGGTGAGGGACGCTGGGGCTGTTTCGAGTCGAGAGAATGGCGGTGGTGGTTGTAGAAGCAACTTCGTACATGTCAGTGGCGAAAACGAATGGGAAGAGGACCTCGGAGTGAGTGTTAACGTCCTACACGATGAACAGAAGCACTTACCGTCCTTCTTCATGACCGCTAGCAGGTCCGGGCGTACCTCGACTGCGGCTAGGAAAGAAGAACCGCGAATATGGAGTTCGAAGCTGCTAAGATCGAGGGCTATGGCCGATTGAGGATTTCGACCTCGGCCTGGGAGGTAGCACAAGCTGGGGGCGATTTTAGGTGAGTGTCTACGTCATCTACATCGGCACATGAGTTCTTACCGTCATTTCTCTAGCAGTCCTGCGCCAATGTCGGTCAGTACCTTCAGGGCTATGCCATAGTAGGTCCGTATCATCGTCCGCCTAAGCTACGAATACTGTGGTACTGACCTGCTGTCTCTCTTGTAGCACGTTCGCAAGAATCGGTGGCAAGAATCGGTGGCAAGAAACTGGGCTCAGAAACCCATTGTAAATGACTATTTTTGTTGAAGACGAAGACTAGGAAGCGGACGTGGACGAGGTATTGGATATTTATGACGTGTTAATACAGTGGATTTAGAGACCCTCGGTGATTTTTTCACGGGATCTCAGGCTGGCTATATGGGCTGACCTCGAATTTTCAGCTTTTCGTTGTACTCTTCCACTTTTGCGCGGCACTCCTCCATCATGCCCACATCGGACGAAGCCCATCGCTCTTACCCTCATCGACGCACGCTACCACAGACCTTGAGCATATATGCCGCTGGAAGTGGTTTTGGCTAACGAATACGAAGTCTGGTGATCGGCGATGGACGCTGAGGCGAATCTCACTCGAAATGCGAGCAGTAGCATGAGCGGTGGTGGTCGCAGAAGCACTTCGGGGCATGATAGCGGCGAAGACGAGCTAGAGACGACATCAAAGTAAGTGGTATCTTCCTACACGATCGGCACGTTCCCTTACCTTCCGTTTCCGCGGCTCTAGCGGAGCCAGACATACCCCAACTCGCAACCAGGAAGGACATACAGCCAAGATGCAGTTTGCATCCGCCGATATCGAGGGCAACAGTGGATATTGGTTCGCGGTCGATGTTCGCGGCGACGATTCAGAGGAGTGGCCGAGGCAAGTGTCTACGCCCTCTGTGTAGCTGCACGAGTTCTTATCTTACTTTCCTACCTTTCCTAGCCTGTCTTCTTCGACGTTGATTTCTACCTCCAAAAATACCAGGGCTAGGTCTATATCATTGCCGTCTACCCGGAGTGGCGAATGCTGACCCGGTTTCTCTTCCTCAGAATGTTTGCTGCATCGAGACCAAGAGTCGACTGCGAGAAACGGGGCCGTCAGGATGCGGGCATTGGGACGATGTGGAGGAGGCGTAGATGTTCCGGATATGGGCGAGGTAGAATAAGCATCCGTGTAAGTACACGATAAATTACGTCTCTTACCCGTCGCTTTCAAGTGCCTAGAGGCCGGAGATGTACTAGGCGTCGCCCTTGAGCAAGAAATGAGGATAGAAGGTTCAAATGTTCAAATTCGACGTTCTGGGTAGCGAGAAACTAGACCAGGGTAAGCTTTCGCCGTCATCTAAGTTGGCACACGAGCACATATGATACTCTCTTAGCCTTTCTTCATCGACATAGCCTGGTACTTACACGAGCTCAAAGACGAAGAGCTTGGGAAATTCGCGACTTCATCCAGTAATGCGCTTGAGCACTTCAATATTGATTACGGTCAAGGTCAGTGTCGTTTATGCGATACCGGTTTGATAGGGTGGAGGGGCTCAGGCACCGTGAAGTCCGGTGAGATCTAGAAGGTATACCTTATTGATACGACATCTATCTTTCCGGTGAGAGATTGACCCGTCGTAACCGTCGGGGTTCCATAAATCAGCATGAAATTTGCTACGAAAAGAATCAAAGACAAACTTGTGATCCTATTACCCTCCGTTCTCCCATACTCCGTTGTCTTGAACTCATCTTGCACCTCGCTTGCACCTCCCCGTGTTCCGACTTCATCACCCGATCTACGAGCTCGAGCTTCGTCTCCATTCCCATTCTCATGCCCTCCCCATACCCCGGCTCCTGTCCCGGTGCCCGTTTGGCTGGAAGCACTAAACCCCCGGGCAGCAACAAACGTTGCCCTTGCCCAGGAGAGCTGAGGAGAACCAGAACCAGGATGGAGGAGAAGGGGCGGGAGAGAGAAGGCAGACAATGTACGCCTACTGAGCGTGAAAGGAAGGACCCACAAACATAGATCGGTGTAGCCGGATCGCATACCAATCGGTCAGCGTAGGCGTAGAAAAACGCAAGGATCATGAGACGAAGAAGGTTGAGGCTGGAGAGAAATGTACACTCCTGTGGCCAGAGTCGCGGGGGTGCATACACATGGGGCGCCCTTGAAGGTCAAGTAAAGAGAAGGTTGAGGCTGAAGAGAAATGTACACTACTGTGGCCAGAGTCGAGGGAGTAGTGCGGATAAAGGACGAAGTAGACCATTCACATGCCTACGTCGCTAACATCAGCGCGGACATAGAGCATCGGGAGAGAAGAAAAGGCGGGCGCAACGCACCAGTGCCGATGCTAAACGCGATCACACCTATCCCGTTAATTTTCCCCAACTAGCACAAGCTCTGCTTTGTTTTACGGCACCCAGAGGAAATCGTTGTAAGGACCGAAAGTGGCGAATTCAAATTCCCCAACGCCAGTGAGGAGAATCACAAGCTAGAAAAGCAAGAGAATACCATAGTGAGCATGACGACGCCTTCTTCAAAGAATTACAATTCACAATAACGATAGAAACCCGAGTCGATGGATATGGTGCTTCAAAGAAAGCGGTCGAAGTCTCTGAACAACAGCTGCCAAGATGAGTACAAACGGTAGAAAAATAGGTCCAGCCACGTACCAGGACGCAATATCTCTCTCCTCCAGCGCGGTCTCCCACAACGAGGCTCCATTGAAAGCTACCGCATCTTTGGGGGAGGTACGGGTTCTCAAATACGACGTCGCGCTTCAGCATAATCTCCCAAGTCCACCGTGTGTTGCTAAAGCCGTTTAGGACGCAGGACGAGCAATTCGGAAGTTGAGAAGCCTTGCAGGTTCTCCCCTCGCCAGATGGGGTGCTTATAGGAAAGAGCCCACGTTCTGCGAGCACGAGACGGCGACGTAAGTGTGAAAACAAGAAGGAGAATGAGTGAAGCTACGTACGAAGAAGCCGTCTCTATACCCCTCCCTTCAGCACGGTGTTCTTCGACTTCGACCACAAGACACCATCTCGTGAGCCAATACTTCAGGTAGAGGCGTTCTGCAGCCTCTCTATCATTGAGTTGGCCTTCTGTGGGCCCACGAAGGCTGTAAGGACAATCGAGTATTAGCCCGGGCCCATAGTTCGTAGGGTAAGTCAACCCAAGCATCGTGCTTACATAGGTAGTCGCAGGGGAGATCTGAGCTCCTTAAGGCGTATTCTCTCGTGAATAGAGGCAATTTCAGAGAAAGAGTCAGCGAAGATTTGTTTCAAGAGCGGTGGCGATGGTGGTAAGTGGTTATTAGGTAGCCCCGGCCCGATAGAAATTACCCTGCTCCGTTGTGCAAAGTTCTTACAAGCGAATAGACAACGACGAACGACCTCTAGACAATCTCAAATTATTCATTGGCCTAATTTACTCCCCGAGAAGGTAGAAAAAGCCCTGTTCATCGTCCATAGCAAACGCTGCGGACTCGGGTCGACTAATCGCAACCTGACTCACAAGCCTGCACTGGAACCGTAGCTCATTAAATTATTGCGTTTACACGAAAACGAAAGGCCGCAGTAACTAGTTACGGACGAGCCGAGGACAAACACGGGTGAAGAGGAATGGGGAATATATAACACGTAGAGCCGTAGCAGTATATGTAAGATACTTATTCACACCCTACGACCGACGACCAAAACCCCGAACAACCCGTGAGTCGCGTCCTTTTGTTTCCCACCTCCCGCTCGCGTACACATCTTCCTTATCCTCGCCGAAGCTCGACCGTTGTTGCATGTGTATATAGCCAGAAAGTCGATCATAGCAGATCACCGAGGGCAGCCATCTCGGGTCCGCTGGACTCGCGCATGCCAATTTCCCAGTCTACGAAAAGGAATCGTATATCAGCACGCGACCGAATGATGAAAGATAAGCAAACGAAAACTTACAGCTGTAGATGATAGTAACCGCCATGAGGATACTGGTACCGCTGCCGATCGCGCCTGAGAGGTCGGCGGCGACGGAACGGAGCCCGAGGATGGCACCTCCGAAGGCGGGGCAGTGGTTGGGATGACGCGCTTGAGCACCGTGTACATCGAACCTTCACGATGGCCGGCGATGACCTATGAACGTGATAGAAAGATAAAGTTAGAGATAACTCGGCGGTGGAGAAAGACTACAACTTACCATCTGCTGATCCTTCAACTGCTTGGCGACGTCCCGAGGACCCGAACCAAAAACTCTGATCCAGGTCTTCGAGAACAGGGCACAGGCGGAGAGCATGAAGGTGATGTAGACGGCGGCGTGGATAGGGTCTAGACGGCCCCCTTGATAGTGTGCGGTGGCGACATGTAATAGGCGATATCAGAGGTGGCACTGAGCTGGGGCGAGTCCTCAGTAGGCTACAAGCAACAACACGTCAATTGAAAAAGATGAGGACAAGAAAAGAGGGAGAAGCATACCTCCCAAACACCAAGCAGACGAACGAACAGGTTTGACGGGAAGCGCGAAGCCAACATCTGCGACACGATGAAGACGTTCGAGGTAAGGGCGGACTGGAGCATGATGGGCATGTTCGATGTGTAGAACAGCTTGACGGGGTAGGTGCCACGCTGGCCGCGGAAACGGTTGCTCTTGACCGGAATCTCAATGCAGAAACCTTGAAGGTAAATGACGACAGTCGAGATAAGGCTCATGACGTTCGGCAACCTCTTGCACCAGAACGCTTCCTTGAACGCGCGTCCTTTGTCGTGCCACGTGAAGAGGAGGTGGAAGAGGGCGACGATGGCCCCTTCAAACTCAGAGCCGCGGCCGATGTTGACGGTCGTGGGCGAGAAGACCTTTCAGATGATCGACTCACAGATGTTGGTGGCGATGAAGAGGTTGATGCCCGAGCCGAGACCGTAGCCTTTTCGAAGGAGCTCGTCGAGGAGAATGACAATAAGAGCGGCGACGATGAGTTGGATGATGAGCAGGAGGCAGACGCCGGTGCCGAGATCCTAATAATATAAATGGCCCAGTAGGGCCCTACTGGAGTCAATCTGTCAATTTTTCAGCAATAAATAGGAGACATGTCTCCTAATTATTGGTCAATAGGGTGTCAATCTGTCCTGAAAATTGGCGAAGATGCTGATTTGTGCTGTCAATCTGTCATGCTGGAATAATTAAAGTCAGATAGGGTATTTTGGCAAGTCAATCTGTCATTCTGCAGTAATTAAGGACACTCTGTCTATATTCTTGGTGTCAGCCTGTGCACGAAAATAATTTAGAAACATGTCCCTTAATTACTGACTGTCCAACAAGGTGTCGAAACGTTGTAGAAGGCTCTGTAATTAGTGAACATGTCTCTTAATTACTGACTGAGAAAAGGGTATTGATGCGCTATATTATATTTACAGTCAACGGGTCATGCTGGAATAAATCTTGTACTCTAGGAATCATTTTTGACATTGGGAAATTGGAATTTGAAAGGATAAAAGTTGTTGGGCATACTCAGTAATTGAGAGCTATGTCTACTAATTAGATGGGCTTGACAGATTGACAGCGACATTACATCAAAAGCAATCTTATTTATTTAAAGTCTGACAGATTGACTGCACAAAAATACAAGATTTGGACACTTTTTCAGACAGTCAGCAATTAAAGGACAAGTTCTAAAATATTCAGGTTGACAGAATGACAGCAAGAATATGCACAGAGCAACCTATTAAAATACGGGAAGCATCACGGGCGTGATGCAGAAACGAGAAACGGCCCTTTCGACTTGCATCACGCACGGCCTTGCATCACGCCCTTGTTTTCCCAACGGGAAAATAATGAGCGAGCGCACCGCACAGCGAGCGACGCAAGAGGACTCCCTCCTAGCTCTATTCCGTTGCCCGCGCTCGACCTGAATGGTCCCACGGTGCTGGCCGCCTGTTTCCGTGACCGTGACGCACTTTTCCGTCACGCGCGCCACACCCCTCGAGAGCGCCCGTCGAGGGTTAGGGAGGGGGTGCTCCTGAGCGAAGCGAAGGTGCACGTTTGGTGAAGACGTGGTGCGTTAGGTCAAAAAGCCTGGGGGATCTACCCGAGGCGGCCTTTTCTGCTTTATAGCGTCGTCAGTGACCGTACTAGAACGCGGGGCTTACTGTGGATCCGTGGATGACTGAGCACGACTCAGACGATTATTCATCCACGCGCGATTGTAACCAATCGCGTTATTAACTCACTCTGCTGAGTGAGCGACTTACTAGGGTGTGGAGCGCCGTATTTACGCCATTCGGTTAGGGTTAGGGTTATAAGGGGAGCGTAGGGACGGTAGGATGGACTTGCTAGGGGCGATTTTCCAACCCTATTTTATGGTTTAAAACTGCCACCGTGTGAACCTTTTGTCTGTGAGAAAAGGAGAACGCCATGCCAAGTGCCTTGAGAGACTGTCTTCAGTCTGCAGAGGCACCATTTGCATGTGCGCACCCATTGTTTTTCTATTGGAAGTGGAGCGCTTGCCCTCTGGGGCGGTGAGAATGGGCATCTCACGTGTTGCGTTTCTTTGAATGCCGTGCAAAGCACCCTGAGCGACTGTGTTCAGTTGCTGTTTCCATCCCGAGGAGGTCCAGTTGTTTCGGTGAAAATGGGAGTTTCGGCTTCCGTGTTTCATGTCGACATTTGTTTCGTGCCCAAGAAATTGCCCAGCCCTTGCTTTGCAATATTGCGATCTATGATGTTTGCCTGTAGGGGAACGCCGCACACACCATCCAGGACGGTAAGAGTGAGCTTCTCATCCGTTGCATTTCAGATGAATATTTCGCACTCAAGGAGTCGGCCAGTCCTTGAAGTAGGTATGCGTGACTTTGTGAAAGACGGGCTTGGTGAATTCAAAAGTTGTCTTCTCGTCCTAGACTTCTCAGGATAGACGCACGTTAATTATAAATAAGGGCGAGCAGCAGAAAGCTGGATGTCAGCGTCAAACTCGCCGTCGTGGAAGGCGAGTGCTCCTTAGTGACCATAGCCGTCCTCGCGGATGAGACCGCCTTCTCACACCTCGCCTTCCGGGAAGGTGAGCTGTGTGGCGTTTGTTTCTCTGCGTGTTGCAACAGGTGTGCAGCTGCTCGCCGTCGTGGAAGGCGAGCTGCACACGGTATCATCCTCTTCTTACTACTCGTGTTTTGATATGCCTCCATCCTAGACATAGGTCCCGCGTGACGGCAGACGGCGCTTGATTGTGGGAAATTAAAAGGCGACTTTGATCGGTTACATTGTACGTCACTTCCGGCGCTTCTTTGTGAGCTGAAGCACCGGGCATTGCGATAACGGGCGCATGCACTCCAAGGAAGCCCTTTAGTCGAGACGGGATTACTGAAATACATCAATGATTCTGCCGAGGTTGAGCGCCTAATATTCTTCTGCTGATAATAGAGGGGTCTAATACTGCTTGGAAAATTGCCTTTTTGAGTCTGCTAAGCATGATCTGCATTCTTGGTATCTTGGCTATTACTCTTGGCATTTGAGCCTATTACTCTGGGCATTTGCCAAGATCCTTGGTTTTATACTTATATCCATGCGCATTTTGACTGTGTTTGCCTTCTATTCAGTTCATTCATATTCTATTCAAATCTTATCTATATATTTGCAATGTCTCCATGTCTAACTCTCTTTTTACAAGCAAGAATTTGAACCTGGTTCATATTTATCTTCCTCTATGATTTTCATATACTAATCCTCTGTCTTGAGTCAATACTCTCAGCCGTCAGCAATGTCCAACAATAAATGAAGGTTGTTTTAAGGCATTCCATTCATGCAACCGACTAGTAAAATTCGATTCTATCTTTATTCTGATTTGGTGGGTCTACGCAATAAACCAGTATCATAACCTAGTTTGCTTTTCACATCTTATGATAACATCATTACTTTTGGTAGTAGCATACACTACTCTTGGCATTTGAATCTACTACTCTTGGCTTTCTGGCGTATTACTCTTGGTATTGAGAAACAGAGCTCAATCTCATCCTTGGATTGTTCATGTAGAAATAAACTCTGTTCATTTCCACTTATCAATTTTTTTAAAATAGATGCCACAATATAAGAAGATGGTGCGTTTACCAAACACACACAATAATACAAATGCAATCCTAATTGAAATGATCAAATAAACTGTAATTTGGAAGGGCATGCATTATGAACATGTCCACATCTGTACAATCTCTGGACATAATTATATTTTAAGTGCGTGAATTTGAACCTGGTTCAGATTTCATGCTTGAAATTTTTGGATAAGATCAAGAGTAGCTACTCTTAGCATTTGCATCGCTTACTCTTGGTTGTCTGGTCTATTACTCTTGGCCTTCTGATTGCACTCTCCTAGTTTTGATGTGCGTGCTCTGGACAAGAGGAAGGACTGCAATCTTGCTCAAAACACTTGCAAAAGTATGTGGGGCACGGACAACTTCAATTAGAAAATAGATGTCATGTCAGAAATAGATAGCATACAGAAAATAGATATATGTTTTGTTGAAATGTCACATCTGAGCATCCAAGAGTGGTCTTCATGCTTTGGAAACACTCAATCTCAAAGACAGGGACAGTAGGGGGAGTCAGAGTGCGTGATTCTGGAACAGTTCTGGAAACCGATTTGGACCAGAATCATTTGCCCCAGAACCGTGTGAAAACTGTGAATCGTCCCGAATCGCAAAGCGCCTCTGGATCCATTTTTACACTCGAGAATCGCTGATTCTGGTTCCGCGCACTCGTCTCCCCCTTCTTAAATATGCATATTAATTCATTAAAATATACTTTTCCTTTCTTCCCATCGGTTTGACTGTCTGATAAATCATTATTTGTGATGGTTAATATGACCTGAACGCTCCTCCGTTGTCTGGCTCCCCTTTTCAGTGCAATTGAAACAAAACTTAACAATTTCGCGGAATAAAAATGCCAAAGAAAATAAGGGTGCCTCAGACAGTTAAATTATTCATGAATTCTGATATAAATACTCAGGATTATACAAAATGCCACCTATAGCAATGGAGGATGATACTGAAACAGACAGGACAATGAAAATCACACAAAAATGCGACTTTCCAGAATCGGGGTGGTCGCAGTCTTCCGCCGGTCCTGGTCCGATTCTTGGTGAAAACTGAATTTTAAATCGTGTCAAAACTGTCATCAGAATCGCCCCAGAATCGTCAAAAATCACCCACTCTGACTCCCCCTAGTCTTTCTCTCTCTGAATCCAATGTGCAAAGGGATTGGCCTTCCTTTTCCTCCAATTCTCAAAACCAGAGCAGTGGTCTTCCTTCTGCTCAGAAACTCAAATCCTTCCAGCTTGCTCATCTATCTCACCCTCTATCTCCCAAAAATGTGCATAAATTATTTATTAAATCCCCAAACCCTCTTAGAAGTCAACCAGGGAGCTCACGAGCATCCTAACAGACTGCCTTGGGGAGATTGGCTGCTTACCTCTCATTGTCATTCTCATTGTGTTTTTATACTCGAGGATCTGGATATTCAGAATCTCGTCTTCTGGATATCTCACTCATCTTGTATGCATCTAGAATATTCCATTAGACTTGTTCAACAATACAATATCATTTACCTCATGCTCTGAGGTTATTGCAACCTCTCTCGGGGCGTCTATCCTTGCTGTACACCATTTATGGTGTTGTCATGTCCATATCTGGACCATGGAACATCAATATCCTGGGTGTCTGACTCAGCGTCGCAACCCAAGCCAACTCGAGTATTTCTTATTGGTTGAATCTCTACGCGAAACACATGGCTGTGGCGTTCAAATGCCAATCCCATGCGGCAGCGCTCATCGTCACACATCACAGTTGCCTCAAACGGCAGATTCTCATCACATCTCACCGAGGATTAAACCTCGTTATCATTATCTTATTAGTAAAATAGGTTGTATCTGTTTTAAGATGCCAGTGCTAGCTGAGCATCTCTCAAATATATACAGAACATGTGCCTCACCGTCTTGAACTCGAATGCATTTAAACTGAACCTTAATTTACAGAAATTTTGCAAAACAAAAAAAGTCATTTGGAAATTCATTCACAAAAAGGTAATGGTACAGCTACGAGACGGGATACAAGTACTTAGGGTTAGGGTTAGGGTTAGGGTTAGGGTTAGGGTTAGGGTTAGGGTTAGGGTTAGGGTTAGGGTTAGGGTTAGT